GTCTCGCGCCGATTCATTAAACTTGACTTTGCGCGGCTTGTTATTTTTGCGTATTGCGTGCGAAAAGTTCGTCGTCCTTTTCGCGAGTTCTTTAAATAAAATTAGAAGCTGATAATAAAATCACGCAGCTTGTAAAACTTCTCTCTAGACAGAGGTCAAGCGTATGGAAGATAATGAGACTTTTGATCGTTAAAGATTAGTGAAGATTACGTTCAAGAGAGCTCGCGTGATGTCACTCCTAAATCAATCTCGCAAGCGCGACGAACTTTTTTGCACTCCGAGCTACCAATCTATTTGCTCACTGCTGGAGCGATTGGCTTCGTCGACCTTCCCCACGAGGACAAAGCGCAAACAAAATCGTTTGACCCAGATCTTAGTATTTACATCAACAACGATAACATTAATTAAGTGCGTACATAAATAATGATTGCGTTACCGTAATTATGATACGAGTTCCGACAGGACGGCGATTTCTCTCATCCAATTATATTACATTAACTCTTTATGAATTACGCAACAGCCCGTAACCATCGTGCGTACGTGAGCAAACAGCCGCCTACGCAAATTACAAAATGTTTCAAGAGCCCCCCGATGATTACAGAGATAAGGAAGGAAGATCGACTGCAGATTGCACGAGAACCTCCGTCGGCGAAATTAAGGTCGAGCGTTTCGCGGAGCGCGGCCGATTAACATTCGACGCAAACTTTACCGGTAAATCCGGCGATCCTCGGTGCGATCCAACGTGCGCGAGAGATCTCGACGGTCGTCGAGGACCGGATTCTACTCCGGGGGTGTGTGGAAGGAAAGATGCAGTCTCCACTTCGAGATACACACTTTTCCGCTCGATTTCGTTCTCGTAGTCAGAGTCGCACTGCTTTCGTCGCGACCTCGATGAAGGACCGATCGCGACCGGGATGCTGAGTCAAACGAAACCAAAGATGGTGTGAGAGAGAGAGAGAGAGAGAAAGAACAACCTCTGTGCCGGATCGCGACGCGGACCACGGGCAGACTGGTCCCCGGCGCTGGATCATCGATCCAGGATGGGCGTCGCGACGCTTTTACACACACACACACACATACACACTCTCTCTCCCTCTCTCTCTCGACGCCCGAATTTATATTTAACTTTGGCATCACTCGACATTCGACTTAGCAGCGTTGCTCGTCTCCTATTCCTCGCCCTCCAACGACGCGCGTCGCCCTCGTTCTTTTCTCTTCTCTTCCCTTCTCTTCACGCTTCTTCACCTATCTTTCTCGCCTAGGTCCTCCCTTTTCTCTCTCCTTTCCTTTCTCTCTTCCCTCACCCCGAGAAGTCGAGAGGACGGCGTGTAAGCGCGCGAGGGATGATGCCGGCGGTGCCCCGCTATTATCACCGATGAGCAAACGGTCGGCGCTCATCGATAATTTTGGTCGCTCATTACGAAAATGTGCGCGATGACGCGCGACCGAAGCGACGGCCGAGCGGAAACATCCCGCGGAAACGATTTCGCGGGCCGATGAACCCCCGATGATCGCGCTGTCTTCTTTCGCGAGATGTAGCGGAGGGTGTGCCAGATTCGCGACGCGACGCTTCCACGCGGCGCGTCGCTTCGCGTGATGCCACGCAGGAAGTATTTGGTTCAATTCAAAGATTTATTCGCCCCGACGCGCGTTAATACATGTCGCATTATATCGTATTACTAGGGGCGCACATACGACGACAACATACTGCTGTTATTGCACAAGTCATTCGCGACAAAACTGCTCGAATGCGTAACATTATATGCGCATCGGGTTCAATTTGAATAACACTCGGCGACAAGGTCGCTGGCTCACAAACTGTGTAATACGATAACATAATGTGACACGTATGTCACATTATGTCTGTCCATATTGGATCGCGTTACGTTGATCAGGATAAATTACTTAGGAGTGTTTTATAAAATATGATAATCTTTTTAAAGGAAGATCTGATTAGATATTTGAGAACGAGAGTTCTACCAAAGTACTGGAATACTGGAACAGTGGTGATAAATATGCGGTTCAGTCATTGGAACGAATCGTTTAATGAAGCGTTTCCTTGAGAATTTAAGTAATATAAAGTATGTTGAAACCTTCAATATTAAAATTGAATCTGCCACTCAAACACGAGAGTAACGCGTCGCACGTGCATCACTCGCTTTCATCTCGTATTTCCAATACATTGTTTCGGAGAGAACGTTCGTTGAAGACAACGTTTGTTGTTGCCTGTCAGGCCCCTTGTTCCAATCTGCCAACTATTCCCTTGGCTTGTCGTTACTTGCAGGATTACCCGTTGCAGAGATGCATTTAGCCGCGTAAAACAAGCATCGCAAGCCGGGACAGCATTGCTCGTTAACCTGACACTGCAAATCGCAAAAGCAATAACAGATTAATAACAAATTAGCCGATGAATTACAGAATTTTTCGAATCGAGCGAGTGTTGTTGCATCTATACGATCGAGACGCAAATTACAAATAAGTTACAATTACAAATAAGTAAAGTTTCAAAGGTTTAATCGTAAGGTTTAATCGCATAATTTTTAAATACAAAAAGAAAACGTTCTAATGCGTTATTTTCATTGTCTGTATATTGACACACGCACGAACATGTTTTTATTTGTGGTTTTACTTACAACTCCATATAATGGAACGCACGAGGAACGCTTGTCAGGATAAGGAGCTGCCAATACAGCATTGACAGCAAACAAAACGATTAATACGAATACTAGACGCTTGTCCATTTTATCGGAAAGATGTGCTACAACGTTTACCAAAGAGTCAAATTAATGAGACGACTTTGCACCAATAACAGTCTACAACAACAAAAAATATATCTTGATCGAATAAAACATGTAGCTGACATAGCATTATCAAGGAAAAAGCGCACAAATGATAATTGTTTCCAATGTGAACACGATAATTGTTATATATTGACATATCATCAGGCTTCATTGAATTCAATTTTAATTTTCATGTTACTTTTTTTTTAATTATTCTTTTGATAAGAATTGATATTTCATGACCTTTATTCTTCCTTAGAAATTTTCCAAAGGATAGAAAGAATAGAAGAACTTTTCCAAAGGAAAAATTTCCAAAGGATTAGAAATTTTCCAAAGGATAGAAGAACTATGTTTTTAATAGAAAAAAATTAATGCTTTAATTCAATTAATAGCACGATGGTATACCAACGATTAAATAATTTTTGCATCGAAAATGTCTAAATTCGCGGAAGAGACTCACGACTGGTTTGAAGAAACCTGTCCTACTGAAGTATCTCGCTTATACCACCACGTATTTATAGGGAGTGAAAACGTAGATCTTACGTAAAAAATCAGAACTGACAATGAGTGATAATATTGAGGATATCAGCACGTTTCTGAGTATCAATCTATTGGCATTGGTTATAACATCTCAGAAAAGATAACGAGTAGTTTACTCGACCTTATTAATAATTATCTCGGGAAAGTTGCACGGAGAAAACCGAGCACCAAATGAAATTTACTTTAGAATTGCAAGGAGATAAAAAAAGGATAAAAGAAACGAGTCGAAGCGCCAATTTAATCGTGCGAAATACTCATCTACAAATTTCGAAAGGAAGAAAGTCTCTTGCGACACTTTGATGTCAAATGACGCCGTAGTTGGAATGTATATAAATATTCGGAATAAAATGATATTATATAAACATTTTTTCTCCGGGCTATACACATACATTTATACCGCGAAACGCGAAGTAATAATATACCACACATACATGAATCCTTATGTTTTACTCGAGCTAAATAAAAAAATATCCATACGTAACATAAGTCTCATTTTGTCGTTATCATGAACGTTGTACAACATTAAGTACGCGACATTGATGTTTATCAAATTATGTCATAAAAATATTTTTCTTATGTTTTATCTAAATGATAGGAATAAAGCTAATTTAAACATGTAATGCTAAATATTGCGAATAAGATAAAAATAAAATATTTTATAGTAATAATTATTTTATAGTAAATTTATATGTATTTTAATTAACTAGGCATACTACTTCAAACATACAAGTAAGAAATATTTAGAACAAATAAAATTAAGATACAAAAAAAGAATACTTGGCGTGTCTGGTTTGCAATAAAAAATGCATTGCCAAATGAGATACGTCAAATGTTTCTTTTTATAAATCTTAATTTTTTTTTAAATATTTCTTACTTGTATGTTTAAAATAATATTCTTAGTTTATTTAAATACATATAAATTTACTTTAAAACAATTATATTTTAGAATTCCAGTGCACTTTATTGCAATCTAAATATATCAGATGTATAAATTTTAATTTTATTTTTATTCTAATAAAAGAATAGTTGTATAACAAGTATCTGATAATAAAGAAATAAAAAAAATAATGTAATTAATTGTCAAATTTACTTCGCACAAAATTCTTGTGATAAAATTATTTTTGTAGTATAGTCTACACATTCTTTTTGTACAAAGAGCATACATTTAACGCCTTTTTTAACTTTTTTTAAAAGAAGTTTTGTACTGATTTAAACTGTAGAGCGTCTCGCGCTACGAAAACATGCACATAATTCTATCCCGTTGCCTTGAAACACACCATTAACATCGCACCGATGCTCGATATTTTAGCATGCGACGTAGTGCTGCCTGTTTTCATAGAAAAAAGCCGTTTTATGAAACGTGATGAATATTATAAAATTATTATTTTACACAAGATATAAAAAATTTCTAGGGATAAATTTATTTAGAGATATTTTAATGAAAATTTTAAAATATACAAGGAAGCTTTCTTGTGCTTTCTTGTGAAATATTATGGAATTTTAATTATTCTTATTTAAAGATTAAAATGACAAAAATGTCTAAGGTTAGAGACAAGTTCAAGCATTGGTATTTTTACTTTAATTGAGAATTTCTCACTACTTATGTTTCCATGTCTATCATTTCTCAAGGATTTGCAAGGAAGGTATGACAAAATGATAGAAAAGGAAGGACTCATCATCTGTATCAATCATCTGTTGGTTTGTATATTTACAAACGTATAACAAAATATGAATATATCTCTTTAAATAGCGTAAAATACCTTAAATTCGTTACTACTAATTTATCATTACGCATGTCCTTTGTGAGTACGAGTGAAGGAGTGTACGATTCTCGATTTCTGGTATATTCAGGTAACTTTATGTGTAAAACATCTGATATTAATTTTAATTAAGACACATTATTATTTGTCGCGATCATCCATCTGTCCTTCCTTAAAATGTATCTAAAGATATTCTATTCATTGTGATCCTTCGTTGTGATCAATCCGTTAGTCCCGCATACGGGACGCCATAATGAAATTGAATGAAGTTCTACTATATCGCAAGAGTAATACGCGTCAATACTCTTGCAGAGGAAGGAAAAATGTATATACCAGTATGTTGGTGTATTATATATAATACAATTAATACACCACGTTGAGTATTATTGCTCAACTTATTTTGCGAAGTATTATTACTCACTTATTTTGCCAAGTTAACGGCTATACATCGTCAACAATCGAATGGACGGATCGATTCCTGGAAGGAGTGTATCAAATATGTGTGTCGCATCGCAAAAATCGACAATTACAACTCAAAGTTTCGTTTCGTGTTTCACTCGGGTTCTAAATAACTGATTCGGTCGTAAGGCACCATGCGAATTATTTGGATAACAATTGTTGGGCATTATGTTGGACGCGCCACACTGCGTATTGCAATCGGCTGTGCCGTTCGCCTCGTTATTCTCGTACACATGACGCCTTTGCATAGCTTCGTCATGATTGTGACCGTGATTGACCTTCGTTCGGATTTGCGCCTCGGAATCCGTCTCGTCTTCGTTATCAGCGCTGTCTACGTCGCCTGCAAACGTTATATCAGCATCAAGAACGATACAATAGACAGTTCATGTCCGATTAGTCCGATACGTTCTCACGTGTCAAATATTTACGAAGTACAGATCGGTTTAATAGCGATAGATTAGTGACAGAGCTGTACATACCGTCGGAACTATTGGTAGATGGTAAATAGAAACGCGACGGCGGCACTTTGTTATTTCCCACGCGACGCTCCCGTTCTCTCGCGACATTATTGGGATGATTATACTTGAACTCTCGGGGGAGCGTATAGCTTCTAGGTAACGACACCTGACTGCCTTCCATGTCGCTAATTTCTGCTTCTCCCTCGCCCTCGCCCTTGGAACTTTCTTCGCCGCCGTTTTGATTTGTGTGCAGCCTGAATGAATAAAGATCGTATCAATTGATTTGTTCGAATTGAAGAGAAAAGGACAGAAAAAATTGAAGAATTTTGTACAATGTCTATGACTAAGATGCTTGACCTGGCATTCGAGTTGACGTCACGTCCTTCATGGATTCGTTTCTGACGTCTCGTAAATGTTCACTTTTTCAGAAAAAGGAACGATCGAAACATCGAAAATAAATCCATGAAGAATGCGAAACCAATTTAGAAGCTAGATAAAGATGTAGATTATCTACATCGCGAAGATCTAAAATAACCCAAGTAGCAAGGTAACGTCTAAAAGAGTCATTAAGATGTCATTAAGACATAATAGACGTCTTAACTCACATCGTCTTTTGATGTCACCTTGCTACTTGGGAAGGTTTTCAAGTATTCAGATATCTGACTATCCGGACATTCGCGATCGGTTTCGATTCAGAAACTCAAACTCAAACTGCATTATTTGAAAATATCAGATTAGATACCTGTGACTGAGATGTCCAGGTGGAGACCAGTGAGAATAATGATGCGGAAGGCAACGCGGCGCCAGCAGTATCTCCGGCGTGTCCGCTCGTTCCCTTTGCGGCGCCGTCCTCCACGGATTCGAAGGATGAGGATTATGGTAATACGGGGAGGAAGGCGGCGGAGGTAAGAGGCAGTGCATTTTCACGGGCGGCCAGGATGATAACACGCCGCCGCCGTTTTGCTCGGGGAACGACGGCGGAGACGTGAACAACGGCGAGCTCGGGGACGTGTGAAGCTTCGTGTTCGGCGGCGGTTGCTGATTGGAGACAGAAGGTGAGGTCGAGAAAGAGGATGTGTTGGCGGATGGAGGCGGGAATAATTTGCCCTCCTTAATCTCCTCTTGGATGGCTCGCAATTCACGCAACTGCTGCTGCTTCTTTTCCTTTAGTTTTTCCCGAATTAGCGTGACGTTTAACGAGCCACCGACCGCCATATCGGTCTCGTCTTTCCGCTCGTTAGAGTTATCGTTCTGCAGCAGAAGTACATAGAAGAAGAGATTAGTACCCATTTGAGACTAATATAGACTCAAGTCAACAATCATTGTTTCATATATAAATAATGATATATAATTTCTTTAGAAGAATTTCTAAGTCTTGAATTTCAACAATGTTGTAATTTTATCTGAATATTATAATAGTCTCATAAGAAGTACAATATGATTATTTTAATGATGATGATATCTTCTTTTCTCCATCATTCGAAAACTTCATATTCTCAAACCGATATTTTGTGCTTTCTATTAATAAAAATTGGCTCTGTTCAGCAGAGAAAGCTGCTTTGCAACTGTTGTCAAATTCTGATTGGTACATGCTCTTGGATTCAACCAAAATTAAGAGCATACTCCAATCAGATTCACAAATTTTACAACAGTTGCAAAGCAGCTTTCTCTGCTGAACGCAGCCATTATTTTTGAGTAATAAGAATAGATTTTTCTTTTGTTGAATTGTATAAAATATATTCTTGTAAGTAATTCATTTTCGCTATATAATCTCATTTAAAAATTACCATGTCAAAAATTGAGATATTTTCCAAAAAAGAATATTCCTTTTTCTACGTAGATAATGTTGTAATTGCTGTCGCCATCGGCCGCGATTACCAACAAATTCCATACAAGGTACCTGTGCTATATTGGTGGATGATAACGGCTTCTTCCAGAATGGAATCAACTGCCGCGAGCCATTACCGACGTTGAGCCATTGCTTCGAATCTCCCACCGTCGTCACGGAACCCATCACCGTGCCCGTCTGCGATTGTGGCGGCGGTGGAGGCACGAAGGTCGTTGGCTTCTTCTTCTTGCGATTCAGATTCACAGCCGTTGGATTCGCGAAACGGCAATTGAACACGCCCGGTATACCGCCATTGCTCAACTTGACCTTCCTCATGCCGATGCCAATGTTGACCTTTTTCTCCTCATTATAATCTATCTGTTTCTCTTCTGAATTGTCCTGGAAAAAAGAAATAAGTTAAGAACAGCACTTTCGAGAGGGACAGACAATACTGAATCATCTGAAATGATTAAATTAATCATTGTCATAATATTAAGAGGAAATTTGTATTAAATTTCTTAATATTTAACATAGAGATAGCGCAAATATGTGATTGAGAAAGAAATAGAAAATGTACTACTTGGAAGTATAAAGTCTTTCTTATTTATTATTAAATAATATTATTTAAAAACACAAGTTTTTTATCTATTGTAATTACTGTTGTAATTACTATTTGAAAATGAAAGGTCAATCGGACTTATCATACTACCTTAATTTCTTATTAAAATAGTAGAGGCTCGTAGCGAAGATTTTAGAACTAATAAGAAAGTAACCCATTTTCTTATTAAGGGTATGATCCATTAGACGCTGCAGATACTTTGGAACGTATAGACCAATCATGGCTTCTCTTTAAATGCTTCAAAGCGTTTGCGGCGTCTAATGAATTGCGCCCTTAACCTTAGATCCGTTATTTGAGGAATCCAGTTAGACCCGTTATTTTTGTTAGTTCCAAAGTCTCCGTTACGAGGCGCCACCATCCTTAAAAAATTGAGATTGTAGTACAACTCAACGATAAGTCAAACGAACATTAATTCTCCAAAAATGACAGGTCAGATTACTTTTTACTCTCAGATAGATAGACTTCAAAACAAATGAAAATGTAATTGAAACAAATGAAAAGACCTTTTAGTTTCGATTAATATATCTTAACGATGGACTAGGCGAGCTTTTTTTTTATTTTTTAGTAGTTCGGCCAAACGATGGTCGATGAAACTTCAAGAAGGAATAAAAGTTCTTTTAGTCTAACAATGAATCTTATATCACCAAAAAATGCAAATCCGAACAGAACAGAATTCAAGATAATTTCTTACATTCGAAAGAAGGAAATCTGTCTTGCGTCGTACCTGATTTGATAATGTTGTGAGATTCGAACCAGTCATTCTCCCACCAGCTTCGTACCTCAGTCTTCTCACGTGAAAAAATCTACCACAAAAAAATACACAATGTAGCTGTCGATATTAATGAAGAGAAATGAAACATGAAACTTACCTGTAATAAAGACCCATGAAGAACATACCACCAAAGAATAGAGCCAAGAGAATAAGCACCAAAGTTACTGGCTGTGGATGATGCTGGTGAGGCAATAGATCGGTACGATTAACACCCGCCACCCACACCCCGATGAGCAGACTGTTCTCAAGAAACATCACGGTGTAAAATATTACCTGTAGAATTATCGTTGCGATCAACATTTACAAAAATTAACAAAAACGTTCGCACAATCCGGTGCTTACTATATACACTAACCATTTTCTGACGATGATTCGTCTCATGTAGATTAACATACGCGAATATATATACAAAAGCGAGTAAGGAAGCGAGGAATGTCTTCCTGATCAGAGGGAGACGTTCGCCCCCGTGAAAGAGTCCGTCTGGCGTCAACAGCAACCATGTTAGCATCGACAGCCAGTGCAGAGCCATCACGATTAGCAGCCACTGTCCGCCGTACAGCGAAGCGTACACAACCAGCGCTCCGACACGAGCGCTCACTGTCCCCAGACGCCAGGCCAATTGCGCCAGCACTCCCAACCATGTCAGCACTAAGCGTTCTAGATTCCGCAGACGCGCGGCACCCTTACTGAAACTGGCAACCGCCCAACACACGCTCCACAAAGAAAGTCCCGCCGACACCGCCGTCAGTTTGGCTAATTTGCTGCCATCCTTGCCGTCGTTATCCTTTGGTTTCCCGGCCTCTGTCTCACCGTCATCGCTAACGCCGATGGACAGAAGATACAGCTGCAGAAGTAGCATCGGAGCGGCCTCACAGAACGCATGTATCAGTCGCAATACGCAGAGCTCTCGTACCTGAAACGCGCGATGAGACTCGCATGAGGCCACTGCTCAAAAAGTCCGATAGAGTTATATATAAAATTGATCAATATAACCGAATCATGTTTTTGGCTCACAAATATCAGATTATCTGATATGTTAGAGAAATTTCTTGTATAAATTTATCGTGGGCTATTCAATTCATTAATCAAAAACATATACATTCAGAAAAATATTTAATTAGTCGTCTACAAACGACTAATCGTAAAATATGATTAAAAATGAAAGAGATTTATAATTCAAATTATAAATATGAAAAAAACATACGTTCAGATAAATATTATAAATATTAAACATTTAAGCTTACTGAATGATTAAACGTTTACCTGAACGTACATGGTTTTTCATATAACTTGTGATTATTAATCTTGTTTCATCCATTTGTAATCATATCTTACGATTAATCGTTTCTAAATGATAAAACATTTATTTGGACGTATATACTTTTCAATTGAAACGACATACAGTAAATTTATATAGGAAATGTATTTCTTTTATAATATAATTTCTTAAATTAATTATATATTAATTATATAGGAAATTTTCCTTTAACATATCAGATCTGATATTTATGAAACAAAAACACAATTCAATTTTTTACATATACCCAAGTAGCAAGGTGACGTCTTTAGACGTCATTTTGCTACCTAGGTAACTTTGTGAGATTTTTTCAGCAGAAGCAAAGGAGATCATAAAGGGAACAATGAGAATACGTACCTCATGTTTTACATAAGTTAAATTGACTGGGATAAATAATTTGAAGTATCTCCATAGTACACCGACTTGGGTGGAATGGAGTAGCAGAACACAGCCTACTGTCCAGTTGCCTGTTTTCTTAACTGGACTCGCATCGCATTCGTCCGGCGCGTTGTTATTTGTCAATTTGCCTCTAGCTCCCCAGAGATACCATCTTAAGCTGATGATCTGCAAGAGCGACAGAACAATTGATCAGACAATCGGCAAAAAGACAACGTAAGATCCGTTTGCTCGTTTTCTAAAACACTAACTTGAGAAATCAGCAGAGAAGTGGCTATGAGAGTGACGCTCAGTGGAAATAATACAGGTGGTGCTATTGCTTGATGGGCAAGGGCGTAGACCATCGCGAGATCGAATACAACATCGCAGAAGTATGATGCTAAGGAAATAATGTTGAACAGTACATCGCACAGGGGCAAAAATTCGTGCTGATGTTGCGACTGATGACACTGGGCCATAATGGGCTTTTATTGCCCATTTGGAATGTCTGGCAGTCTTTTTTATTTCACTTTTATCAATGCACCCTCCAGTCCTCCTGTAAAGAGAATGTATTATCAAAACATCCTCAATCACAAATTTCTCCTATCAAGTAGAAATATTGTGGTAAGATAAAAAATTTTTTTCATTCTTCGCGTATGGAATTATTTTTCCGCCAGAGAAATTGTCGACTACAGTCACAGAAATTAAATTAACAATCAAATTTATGCACTTTTGAATTATCTCATCATTTCCCGAATTCTTCACTTCGTATTTCACTTCATACGTTCATCGAAGAAATTGAACGTTTTTTTCCTTCAAATAACTGCTAAAAGTTAATATGTACAATTTCAGGTGTATAAGAATGCAAAGTGCACTTTCTCCCCATGAAAGAGGAATTTATTCGAAAGTAACAACGAGAACTTTGCGAAGCAACAGGCTTCCAAGTTACAAACACGGATTCGATTATCCGTTATATGCGGGGGTGACGAAACTAACGTTGCTCCTCACGAGGTCCGCCGTTTACCCTGCGCCACATTCAAAACGCACGTCCGCATCTCACGCGCATCGGATGAATTCGTCCGAACGGTTTTTTAAAGGCTAGCAGCGCGGTGAGCGAGGCGTAGTACGTGTACGCGTAACAATGTCGGCGCGTATAGCGCAGCGTGGGATCGCGCGCTCGCTCAGCGCATTCCGCGCGTGTCATTGACGAGAGCGGCGATCACAAAAATCACTCTCTCGATCCGGACGCTGCCGCCACCGCCGCCGCGCCGCGCCGCACTGCGCTGTCGCCGTCACAGCCGCTGCCGCCGCCACCGCCGTCGCCGCCGCGCCGCCGTCGCCACCGCTCGCGGGGAAGCCGGGGACCAGCGGCGTTGGTATGCGCGGAATTCGCGCGTCCGCGAAGCACACGCGCGTTTAGAGAAGAACGCGCGTTTCCACACCGAACGCCGCTCCCTCCTCGTTCCCGATCGTCGACTGGGCCCGCTCGCCGTTGCCGTCGACGTCGCACGTCGTCCTCTAATGCACCTCTTCCTTATAGCAGCAGTGGCGTCTCGTCGTCGTGCGTGCTAGCGCGTCGCGGACGCTGCATTTTTCGTAGGGACCAGCGGCGGCGAATCCCGGTTCTACGAGAGATCGCGCGTACATCGTCCCACGCATACCGACCCTGCCGCCGATCTACCTGTTGATTCAGTGCAATTCAATGCGGCTATTTTACGCGCACGCCTCACTCGCCCTCCTTCTCTCTCCCTCTCTTTCTCCCTTCTCCAGGATCCGTACAGTCGGTCGGTCGGTCGATCGCTCGCTCGCTCGCTCGCTCGCACGCACGCATCGCCGCTGCATACACCTGGCGCCGCCAGTGAGGAACGCGAGAGCGAGCCTCACCTTAGGCGGCCCGAACGCTCAGGAAGATTTTTTTCGGTTATTCTTCCTCCCGCGTACCGATCGCCGCGATATGCGAGCGTTAATGCGAGTTCGGGGCTTCTTCCTCTACTTATCACACGATCGCATGCGGCGTTGCTCGATACACAAGCGACGTGCGTCACTTAAATGACGAATATAAAAGTTAATCAATAAATGAAAAGGTTTATTAATACACTTATATGAAAATATAAACGGTGGTACGTTTCCATAGATACATACAGATGCATTCATGCAATCGTAGTATATATGCAAACATGGTATATACAACTCTCAGTAGCTTAGAAAAGTTGTGCTGCATCTCCTTACTCTTATGTACATAAATTATGATTGCAAAATAATGCACACGATGCAAAGTCTTGATTTCATATTAGAAAATTATTGAATATTTTGTATAACAAATTAATGTAAAAGTTCAAAATTACATATACTTAGTGTTTGATCGAGTTCATTTGTGCGAGTCCTTTCTCACTATATCCAACTTTCATCAACCCCAATAATTGCACACGGACAGTTAGAGAATAATTTCATTCTTATAGTTCCTCGTCAGTTCCTTATGCGGCAGAACGATCGAGTTCAGCAGAATCTTTTCCGCGGCCAAGCTCACGCTGGTACCTAAAACAAAATGCGCAATTACAGACACGGGCCACTATTAAAAATATTTGTAAGATATTCTGTTTTGTTATACCGAGTATCGTAATGGATGGGTTAAGTTTTCCATTGACATTAAACAATGGCAGATTCTCCATTTTTGCGAATGGTTTGTTAGGATTAGGATCACATGGAGTTCCTTCGACGCGTGCCCATTCACCCACACTAGTGCCTGTTCCTATGATGCTGTGTAAGATCAGAGAATGAGCCTGTATGTGTGCATTAGCCAATACAATCGATTCTCTGATTCTCACACCAGGCTCTATAATTGTGTTAGGACCTATACTAACATTGGGGCCTAGCTGCAAGAGACAGGAATTTTATATTAATATGTGAACAAAGTTCACATTGAAAAACATCATACATCAGGATCAATTTATCCTTATACCATGGAAGTGGGATGTACAGTGGCCGATGGATGAATATACACATCCCCAATGATGTTACAAGAATCGTTGCTCATCGAAGCTAAGCGGTTTGGCTGCTTCTGCTTATAAAGGGCCAAGTAATGTCGATTGGCATATATCGCGGATCCCGCAGTTTTTACTTGCGACCACCACCTAAGCACAGGTAAGGCAAACAACCGACCACTTCCTGCCAAACGTGTCAGTATGTCTTGTTCAAACGCAATGTGCGCCGGATCTCTGCCATTGCCGTATGATTGCCTGAAAATGAAGCAGAAGGGGAGAGTTATTATTCCACTTCGTGTTCGTGAAAACAAACCTCAAAGGAACTTACATAATATGATCTTGCTGCTGATTAGCATGAAAAACATCTGCCATCGTTTGAAATATATCCAGGGAAGCGAGATATACTCCACAATTGATAAGGGTTGATACAAATGTGGAAGGCTTTTCAACGTAATGCGCTACCTCCCCTTCTTTCCCCAAAACCATACACCCATAATTCAAGGATTGCTGACGAGTCGCCTCAGTGGCCATGATTGTGAGCAAGGCCTGCTTGCTTTTATGAAAGTCCACCATTTCCAACAGAGGAAAGTCAGCGCAGACATCTCCGTTCATTATGAAAAAGTATGATGGGCTGCCTGAACGTATCTGATCACGGAAGTGATACATGCCGCCTGCTGTGCCAAGTGGAGTGAATTCCTGCAGATACCTGATAACTATGCCATAGGTACTTGACATCTGTTGTATGAACTGTGCTAAATCATTCTTGGGATACGCGCCGATTATCAATACTTCATTGAGATCAGGCACTTTGGTGCACGCCTCGATATGATGTTGTATCATAGGTAATCCAGCCACTGGAAACAATGGCTTTGGGATATCCAGAGAAAGAGGCCTAAACCTTGTTCCTGCAGAGGTAAGAACGATACAACATAACGATACAATAAAAACATGTAAAATATGAATTCAGAAAATCTTTATATAACAATTTCAATTAAACATACAGTGCTTTGATAATCAATATATTTTGTCATGTTCTCTACATTTACTACATTAATTATTTTAATGTTATAAACAATAAAACTACTTAATGTTTATTATTTTAATGTTTAAAACAATAAAACTACAAACCTTTCAAGGGTCCTCCAATTAAGATAACTGCCTTCAACATATTTGCACAATTTCAATGTATTCCCTATAGTATGTTTAATCAAAACAACCTTTATCTTCAGAAATAAGAAATGAGAAATGAGAAATATCACGAATAACAATTACTAATAAGTAATTATGTAAATCCACCAAAGTAGCTGGGGGAGACTAATCACAAAACGTTGACGTATCCGTATGGTCAGAAGGTACTTGGACATGTCATCACTGATAGTATCAGCACGACATGGAATCTTCGACGAATCGACTTTGTGGAGGCAAAGGGAACGTATTTAAAGCACGTTCCTTTTCCTGATTATATATATAGACGGTTAAACATATCTTATCTATCATTACCGATAATACTTCATAGATGAGATAAAAAGTTGGGAAAAATAATCAAAATGTAACATAATTTAATTGCGGAAGGCTATAAATTGTCAGCCGCCACTATCAATTTTGCATTTCATCTCAAGCTCTCAACGAGATTCTCGAGTCACTTGAGCATCTTGTCGGTCCAACCTCTCATAACATAATTAAATAAAACTTTTCTCTCACTTTTTCCCTTTAATGAAACTTAAAGGGCAATCAGCTCACAGCTGATGCGACGATGGCTTCGCGTAAAGTGCGCTCTCAACTGCACTAACCACACTTTCTCCCGCACTTTTTCTCTCTCTGTCCCTCTCCGCTCAATATAAACTCGTTTCATTTCAAGTGCAGAAGGTGGATTAGGTGCAGCTAGAAAAGAACAGATCTATAATTCTCCTTCGACTGTGATTAGTCAATTGTATGGGACAAGTTTCTCGCCTTTAAGAACCGTGGCGCTGCTGTTTGCTAGTGTTGCCGATATTTCTTGTCGCGTGAGACCTATCTAGGGGAAACTCTCCCTCTCGTCCGCAAGGGAAACCGGCTAAATACGCGGCCGTCATAAGTAGATGAGAGAGAAGGAGACAGAGAGAGAGAGAAAGAGATCGCGGGATCTTCGTTGAGGCGAGGTGAACCGAGTCGAACCGAAACTCGCGTACACTTGGCGCGAAATCCCGCCGTCTCTGCGAACTCGCCGTTGCCGAAGGGCGCCGGTTTGCAGGAAGGAGTTGCGGGGCAAAGGGCAAGGAAGACGAGTGCGCGCGATCAGCTTGGCGCGGTTATGCGCACTCGAGACGACGGTCAGCGCAACGCGCCGACGACGGTAACATAGAGACGCTCGCGCCGCTGCCGCCGACGACGACGACGACGACGACGATGACGACGACGAGAGCGAGCGAGTAAGCGAGCGAGCGAGAGAGGTTTGCCCCGGTGCGCGAGTCGGATTACATCGCGTGTAGTCCGCAAGCGGAAAGTGCGTAAAGTGCGTCTTCGTGCATGTTGTGCGTGCACCGCATGAGACAAGTTCGCTTCTTCGTAGCTCGTTTATTCGCACTTGGGCGAGCCGTGCGCGCGCGACAGAAAGAGACGGGGAAAGTAATAGGTCGCTGGTAGACGTGGTGGGGCGAGGGGAGGAGACGATCCAGAGCGAGAGAGAGAGAGATACTCGTGGCGCGTTCGAAACGAAGCGCATCGTCGCTCGCAGAGAGGAAGCGGCCGAAGTTCGAAGCGGATCGACGTGCGAGAGTCCGAACTTTCGACGGACGCGAAGCGACTCGCGAACGGACGGACAGTTAGGACGCGTCGCCGCCACCGTCGTCGCCGCTCGTTGCGCGTTGCCGTAGTTGATCAGCGGACGGATTCGCAACACGAGCGTGTGAACTCTCTCGCCGCCGTTGTGTCGCGTCCTCGTTCGCTCCCGCCTGACGTATCGGGATACACAGCGAGGTTGCCGCTGCCACCGCCGCCGCCACAGTTGCTGCTGGCGATTCTTCAGGACCAGGTCGTGGGCGAACCACCTGCCGCAGAAGAATGGAGATCCCGAAATCCATGCAGGAAGAAGTCAAATCCGTGCAAAACAAACTGTGGAACGCGATATGGGAGCATCAGGTAAGAAGGAGTAAGAGAAAGAGAGAGAGCGAGAAAGAGGAGAACGCGAGAACGCGATGCGTGTATGTATATATGCACGCGTGTGTCGATAGCGATCAAGACGGGCCTCGATGTGTGGTTAAGTGACGAGAAGAGACGCTTAAAGAACGTGCCCGTGTAATCTCCAAGTGTCGCGAATATTCATTCGTCTCCTTCGCCGCGAACTATTTATTCTCTCTGCCTCTCTCTCTCTCTTTCTCTCTCTCTCACACGTAGGGCCGGCCCGTCCGTCAGTCTATCCGTCCAAGCGACCGCTGCGATAGATCGATTGTTCGAGACAACTCGAACGATAGATCAGCCAGCGTCTTCTGCGAATAATTCAAGCGCATTCGCGCAGTCATCTGCTCGCGCGAGTGTAAATGCTCGATATTACGTGACGACGAGAGCGCTGCTGTATGAAAATCGACGCGAAAAGCGAATTGAAAGTTTCACTTCCGATCTAGCGCGTCCTTGTATCCCTTCCTTCCTTTTCTCCTTTCTTTCTTCGTAATTTTCATCGGCTCATCTTCTCTTTCTCTCTCTTTCTCCCTCTCTCTCGCTCGCGCCCCCTCTCTCGCTTATCAAACCCTCTCTTCGTCAATCTATCCGTCTCTGTCTGTCTCCTTCTTTCTTTCTCGTGCGCGTAGCTTTCGTTCGTTTAGAATCGTTTCGAGTCGTGAAATTCGTCGCGCTGCGTCGGAAATCGAGTTAATAGTTCGAGTTTTGCGACCGTATTAAATCGCCTACGGCGACTCGCCACCGACAAAACTTGTTGATCGTTCCGCTTATCTGACAAAAGCGACATCGAAAGTCGCACGTCTCTTTGTCTCTTATACCTATATGAAAGCTCAGGGTTGACCAAAGTCACGATTAGCTAATTGTTTCACTTTTATGACATGCGTTTTATTTTTATAGCATAGGCACGCACAGAAAAAAAGAAAAAACTTCGTTAGTGTGGCTGAATCTTTTGTAACACACAGGGACGGGATGAAAAAATCGCAGTTGTGGAAACAATGATTGCTGCAGGTCAGGTTTCTACACGTCAATCAATTATTCCCAGTTATCTCAACCGCGTTTTAATGCAGCGGCATGTTCAGACAAATGTTTTTGGCTGCGATAGCAAAGATATTATTTCTCGTCGACGAGTTTTTCGTCTGGTTTTTATTCAGTTGTCCGAATTGAAATTTTCTTTTCATGCATATTTTTGAAGGAAGACCTTGTTTTTTATCGGAGTTTTCTAATCGGCAGTAAACGTAGGAAAATATATCCCTCTTATCAAAAAGAAAACGAAACGAAAAAAACTAACAATCAGCAGACTAAGACTGCACTTGGTGAAAAATATTGTACATACTAATAGATAGAAAAATATCGAAGGTCGGTTTGCTAATTTGTCATCCTTTAGCTTCATAGAATGTTGAAAAGTAAAATCATTTTCCATTCATCTCAAACCTGTTCAAAGGAAGATTTGGTTCAAAAGAAAAGAAATTCTTCCCTTATCTGACACCATTGTTTCGTTCCCTAACATTGTAGAAAGTAAAAATAATGGCTTTTCGTATGTTTCTTAACTAGGCTCTTATTCTTGAAATAGTTGTGTATATGTAAGTTTTACTGCGCAGGTTTAATCATACCATAAATTAGCTGCGCAATAAAAATTACGTATATGCAAAAATTTCAAGAATGGGCCCTAAAATCTGTTCAATACAATGTTCTAAAACCTATCTATTCAAAAATATCCTGTTACCCAGCTTTTTTTTTCAAAAAGGACTTTCAAAAAGGTCTTTCTCTAGTATTTGCTTTATCTCTGCATTTCATAGTTCGCAGATATTCTGCCACTTTCTTTTGTAGTGATTAATGAAAAAATAACAGTTTATTGAAGCGTGAAGGTAACACCTGAAGCAGGATTATAAGCGTATCGGTGACGATGTCGCCGATTGCTTTTTCAGGTGGCGAATTTCTGAAAATTAACTCTTATTAATCGCGCTTATTAAGCGCGACAGAGCGCCCCGAAGTTTGCGCATTCAATTAAACGGCCGTCTCAAATTCGCGAGCGACGTCCTCTCGACGGACAATCGATACTTTCTGAATTACCCGGAACGCTTTTAATCCTTTCCCACGAGGTCGCGACCAAGTTTCGCGACGATGCGTTATGCAGGCGCATCTACTGCCTCCGCGCGAGCTGCGGACGGAAGAATTAGGACGAAAGAAGTATCGATAAACGACACACGTTCAGCTCTTTCTTCTCTCCCTGTCGCCTCGCCCCGGACATTTCCTTCCCTGGACAGCAATCGCCGCGGAATTGTTCCAGGCTTCGGAGTGCATCGAGAGGAAACAATAGTTATCGCGGTTTCGTAATCGTCGAGCGCGATTTATGTAATCAAAGTTCGTTTTACTTTGTTGGTGGGGGACAGGTGCAGTCGATACGAAGCTTTCCGAGCCGCCGAGTCGCGCTTGATTTACTTTTACTGCGAAAATGTTGACGAGGTCGTTTTCTTCCACTTTTCCGCGCATGCCGACTACTTCGCCCTTCGAGCTTTGATTAATTCTTTATTCGCCGAGGATCGGCGGCGAGACGAGTCTCGTTCCATCGCTCGCGGCACTGACAAATTGCTCGTGCCGATAGTTAAGTACGAAAGAGGAGAAAGCAAGAAAAAGAGAAGGAAAAGCGAGTCACGCTCAGTTTGCGCGCGTGAAGGGAAAAAAACTAAGTAAATTGGTACTTCCTGCTCCTTACGAAAACGCCCTTGTATTTTTCTACAATATTGGTTGTCGTGTTTGCGAAATTTCGGCGCTACCAACACCGGACGTAATTAATCGCGAGCGCACATTAGCGCTGAATACACGGCTCGCGTCCCACCGCTTGCCGAAACGGTGAAGAGCGTGATGAAAGGCGCGAATCGCGACTGATGAGACGCGCAAAATACATCTGTACCTCGCGTCTTTATCAATTAATGCTGGTATTAATGGGGTTGAGAGCGTAATGGCGTAGCGGCGCATCGCGTTTCAGTCGGTCAGGTGCGCGCCTGGTTCTCGCGGATACCGCTGAATTATTCACCCCGTCCTCTCTCGATTCCATATTACGCCGTGGAACATTGCACAAACCCGCTGTCTTCGTGCGTCGATATTAATCGTGGCTGTTTTTGCTTGAATTGCAGAGGTGCATGGCGAAGCTGAAGAATGACCCAAATGTAAGTATACATGAAAAATCGCATGTTCTACATTAACATTCACAATCTTATGAAACACGCGAGGAACACAGATAGAACAGAAAATCAAGATAATAATAATTAACTTAGTGTATAATTGTGTTAATACAGCAGTTCCGGAAAAGTGTGATGCACTAGCACGATGGGTGAGACGACGGCAAAAGATGCTGGTATTACCGCCGAAAATATGTGTTTATAAAGACTTAGATCCAGTCGATCGTGTATGCCGACGCAATGCGCTGCTCAACGGCAGAACGGAAGGAATTGAGTGAGGGAGCAGCTCGGATAACGTCAAAGTGACGAGGAAATGATCGAAAGTGAATCCGTCGTTTCTCCGTCACTACGACGTCGTCGTAATTTTCTGTTCTATCTGAAGGAGGAGACGGTGCATCTTGCGCGAGAAGGCACGACGCGCCGTGAGCTCGCGCGACTCTTCGTTCCGAATCACGGCGCGCGCGAGAGATTCACAGAACAATCGATACAGCGAGAGAAGACCTCGCAGGAGTCGTGCGCGACGTGTGCCTTTGAAATTCCGTCAAGCCCCCGTCCGTGCAACAAACTTCGGCCAGACGTTCCGTGCCAACTAGTGCTGGACACGCATATTAAAAGAAACTTTTCTGCACGGGACTGTTTACGTAAACTCACGATCGATTCGATCAATATACCAACATGTCAATTCGCCGCTGGAAAATAATAACGCACAATCGCCGATATATAAGATATCGCTTCCTTAGATTCCATTAGATGGATCGATAATTAGAATATCTATCCATTGTATCTTATTGATAACGCTATCAGTTGCGCATCGCAGCAATAGTAATAATGTTATCCGCGCGATAATTTCTATTCAAGTTGCACGGCGACCTCTCACGAAGATACAGCGTTATACAAAAGCGCGAGTTCCAATAATCGTAATTTTAGCGATGGTCTAACAATTACTGAGTCTTTATCTCTGTAGCCGTTTGAACAATAACGTAATCGTACGATTTTTCGTTACAGAACTCCGACGCCCACAGCCAGAAGAAACAGATTCAGATGCGTATCCTTTCTTTGGGAAAATGCCAGGTAAGCGAACAATACATTTGCCTCAACGTCGCATGTCGCGATTCGCTGTGTATCCTACGTGTGTTCCGTGTTCCCTCAAGTTCTCATTACGCGAGGCCTCGACAATTTCGCGAGCTATCCTCTGACAGATCGATCGTGCGACACACCGGAGATAAAGGGAGAAGGAGAGGGGACAATTTTTCCTTCTCCGTTTTTTTTATTTTCTAATATCAATCATCAAGCACGTGGAAGAAGGAAGAAGAAATCGTAACTTTGCATAAAGTGCAATACATCGATCAAGGTTGTTATTAATACGGGCGTCGCTTATTATACAGCAAAAACTTCGCCGCGCCTTGCTTAACTTATACAAAGCACGGCTCTTATCGCGCCGCAATTATGATATCGCTCGCGTGGCAGAACGCAGCAACGAAACGCGTATCGATTATCGTCAGTCACAATGATGGTTTGCAACTCGCTACGTGAGCTATAAGATATCCCTATGATGATGCGCGAAAGCGGATACGAATAGTGTGAATCAACGTAACAAAATACACAATTGGGAATGCGCCTCATTATCTCGCGGATTAAGCACGACACACAGCTCGGTGCTTATCGCTTTTCGCGCGGTTATATTTGCAACATCCCTTTTCAACACGCCTCCAGTCCGACGTTCTTTTTCCTTCGATCGCGGCACCGTTGATAACAAGCGAGATAAATAGTCGGGAACGCAACGAACGGGGACAGACAGATAATACGTAGAGGCTGCGAGAGCGGGAAAGCGTGATGCGCGACCGTGCTGGAGAACTAGAGGGAGTGCGGGGTTGAGCAGATGAGGGAGGGTTGGGAGGCGACAATTCAGAAAGAAGGAGCGAGAGCAACTTGGAGCGAAGGAGAAGCCGGCAGGCACAGAGACGGAGGGGTTCAAAATCAATAAAATGTCCTGCGGAAACGTTTTCGGCTCTTTACAAAATCTCCGCATCTTTTTCACTCGTTCACGTCTTCATCGCCAACTTTTACGTGTCGCTCCGTGCTGCAAGCTCTCTCCTTTATTCCATCAGCTTGCCTTTTTTAACAATTATCCGACTCTCTCTCTCTCTCTCTCTCTCTCTCTCTCTCTCTCTCTCTCTCTTTCTCTCTCTCTTTCGCTCGAAAGTAGCGCGAACTTGCCTGCGTGTTCTAGAGAAATCAAACTTTAAACTTAGAATAAACACCGTATCCGTTTCGCAATTTCAACAACCGCGTAACTACGCGTGACGTCCAAGATCTCGTTACATCATCGTATACGCGTGTTTTATCATACATTTCCTGAAAATTGTATGAATAAAAATTCTCTACAACGCAACTAAGTTAAGTTAAGTGCGATGTGCACGTTGTGCTTTGCTCGAGCGCGTCAAATCTATCTACTTTACCGCTTGCGAGGACTGCTTCCCAGAGATTTTTTTAGAAATTACCGATAGCTAAACTCTACAATGCGTTATATATACATTATATATATATATATATATATATATATATATATATATATATATATATATATATACACATGTCTCCGTGGTTTCCAATACGCAGAAGCAAATCGTGGAGCGACTGCGCAAAGCGGTGCGGAACGATGCAGCGGACAACGCGAACGGGTCGAAAGTTTCCATAGCTTCTCTCTGGGGTTTGAACAACAACAATCATATCACGAATAACAACGAGACGAAACATGAGACGGTCGCCAACGGCTTCGAAACAAAACCTTCGAAGGAGGACTACGAGGAGGTCGTTACGAATGGCGATGTTCCATCACCGGTACAACATAACGATTGCGCAAAGTAAGTTTGTCCCGAATATACAGCACACAATATCGATCGAAAAGGAGATTTCTTTAATCGGAAATCGCTTGGTGTTATTTTGATGAATGTTCAACAAAGATTTTGGAATCTTCTCAATCCGGAATTGTCTTTGCAGACAAATCCCTAACTCAGTGGAAGCTGTCTCTGGTGAAGACGATATCGTTGAGGTGCCAATGGATGAGAACTCTAACAAGAAACAAGAAAAGACGAAGGAAAAACATCAGGTTGAATTGAGCCAGGAAAATTTTCTGCGTTGTCTTCTGCTTATTACTAATGAAAAAGCTTTGGAACTACAGAACAAAAGAACGGAAAGGAAGCGTCGCAGCACGGCGAACCATACACAATTCGTATATTCCATGGCGGAACAACCGGCTGTAAGTGTATATTGGCGCTTTCGTATTTTATTAACATAAATTCATACTAATTTCTATTTATGTTTCTATTTACGTTTTAGAAGCGGCAGAAGAGGCACTGGCTGTCGGGAAATGCGCCTCACACGCGACAGGCGACTGCTCGTATGAACGGCCCGTCGCCACCTCCTAGCAAAGCTCAAGCAACCAAATCTACCTCGCTACAAGCTCGTGCGACAACGAAGTCGCTGATAACGGTTCCGGCTCAAAAGTCCACTACCAGACCGAATATTCTCAGAAGCGCGGATAGCAAAGTCTTCGTGAATAAGAACAGGATTGAGGATAGGCAGACGCAATCATCTGCGACCAGTGCCAAAACTATTCAGATAGGTGGCAAGACTGTCCATTTACCGGGATTGCCATCTAGCTTGACCATAGAGAAAATCGAGAACGACTCCGTCGTATGTATCACTTGTAGGAATAAAACCTCAGGTTAGCATAAATATCCTATTAGCTTTGTGGGCGTATTACTAATACCTTAGTAAATCTATCAGAAGAAAAGAAGAACACTCGAATAAAGATTCAATATTTTCTTCTGCAGGTCCATTAACGATATGCGAGATTTGCTCAAGAAGCTATCACGTCACCTGCCATACCATGCCGGCTCCACCCAGCACGTGTCCTAAATGTGCAATAGTAACAGGGTCGAGGAAGAACGTGCAAAAGGAAGAAGGAGCCGAGGGTGGAGAACGAGTGGATGGAGAGAAATTACCAAGATTGAAGGGTGACAAGCTCGGTAAATCGTCCTCTGTTTGTAAAAGGAAATCTTCCTCTAATCGTAAGAGGAAATCTTCCTCTAATCGTAAGAGGAAATCTTCCTCCAAACAGGCAAAGCGTGTGATTGACAAAAAAGTTCTTGATTCCATAGACGTTATAAACGTTTATAATTTGACGTCACGGCAGGTGTAGACGTTGATTCGACGTTGCGGCAGCAGTTTGAGATTTTTTTGTTGCTGTAAAATTGGCAAATTCTCGATACCTATGATTGAGCATAGAGTAATGTCGAGCAGTGTAAAACAATATCGAATAATACAAAGCAATATGAAAACTTGATCATGATAAAATCACAAAGTACCGATAGACGGTACAGGCACATTATTTTAACCAGGAACAGGAATTTGTATAACATAAGTCCATAACTTCTAGATTTAACATACAACGAGGTATCGCAGCGTTGCCGCAGACTTAATTGAGCGTAAGCACGCACACTGAATAAACGAGAGAGCAGCATGCCGGAAGAAGTGTCCGCGTGTGAAACCGGCTTCTCGAATACGGCCGAAGAATTTACAATTAGGAAGAACTTTTTGGTCGATCGTCCACGATAGGACACAAAAAAAACAAGCTGTGTATTGAACGCGAAATATCTTGCAGAGGAGAAAGAGAGAGAAAGATATGAGCTGCGCGAGCGAAACTCGGATCTGAGATTGCAGGTCTACGAGTTGGAAAAACGCTCACAACTACTCGGCCAGTCACTCCAGGTTCGTCCTGTGGCCTGCGTAGAGACAAATTATAAAATTTTCTTTCTTTTGGAATGCTCCTCAGTTGATTAAATTACAAATTATAAATATTTTCCATCCATTAGTTTCGTTTCATATAATACCTGCAAGATGTCTGCGTTTTTTTTATTTCTTCCCTTCTTCACTATATATGTACGTGATATTTTAACGTAGATAGGTCAATCCAGTTACTTCAGACGAAATAAACAAATATATAAAATTATATTTATATATATATATAAAAAATTCACAGGATTGACCAATCTCTCCAATTTTATTACGTTTCGTACATGTATGAGTTCGCCTTATTTTTATAGGAATTTACATCGTGAATCATAAATGTAATTTTTTTAGTGTATCCGAAAATATGTAGATTGCATGATTACAGACTACTTAACTTGCGATTCAGAAACGCAAACGATTGGCAGTGTACAATCAACATCAGAAAGGTTGTTCGATTTTTTCTGACTTTTGAAACGCATCCATCTTGTCCAATAAAATAATTTATTGGTCAATAAAAAAATTTTCCCATTGGACAAAACGGATACGTTTTGAAAGTCACAAAAAAACCGGATAACTTTTTCGACGTATGTACGTAGTTTGACACATTCTGCAGAATGAAACACAATCATTCTAATCGGAGATTGTACGAATTCAATTTATAAAGCATTTAATTTATAAATAACAAACCGAAACTCTCCCATATTTTGTTTGTAAGTCGAGTAATGTCTGTATTCTGATAAAATTTCCGCTTTATCGTCGATATCTTGGAAGAAAACCTAAGATTTACGTATATATACTTTTTATTATACTTTTTTAAAGAAATTTTCAATTTTAACTTGTTTATAAATTATTGTATCTGAAAAGTAGTTTTGATTATCTTGTGCACTAATTAATATTTGTTCATTCTTTAAAATAGCCTATTCCTCATTCATTAAAAATATGATCTTTATGTAAACGACACAGAACAGCCAATCTCTTAGAAATGTACTGTGTAAGTACATAAGGAATATATGTGTAAATATATACGTATATAAGTATATACGTATATATGTATATACGTATATATGTAAAGAAACAAAGGTATGACAGTTCAAATTCATGCGTTATGGGATTACAGCTGTTTTCATGGTGAGAGAGTATTCTAGATTGCTGAAATATATATTCTTAATAGATTGGTTGTTCAGTGTATGCTCAACGCATGTTTATTTATTAAAAATATTCTTACCAGAGAAAAAGTTACACAAAAGGAAGAAAAGCTAGTTTTCCTTTCTCTCACAAGAGAAAGAAAAATTAGCTAACGCTAGTTTTAATATTGATTCAATATGCAAAAAGCATCGTTACGGCGTTCTAAGAATTTTTTAAGAAAGTTGAGACAGCATTGCTGTGATGCTGTCGAGGTACAAAAGATTAAATTTATATGTCAATATATAAGCAACAGAAATATCGAGTGAAAATAACTGGACTAAAAATCAAACTTAGGATTCTTAGTTTCTCGCTAAGTCTAAGTTAAGGGCGTTATTCATAGTTGGATCTTGTATTTAAAATCATCTTAAATTTATCATCAGATGTATCGTAGCCGATGAAACAACATCTGAACTTAAGACGATGTTAAATATAAGACCCGATTATAAATATCGGTTTTTAAGATCTTGAAGAAAATCACGTGATCCTTATTTCTTCTGTCTTTTCTCGAATAAGTACTGATGATTAATTTTTTTTATCTTTCCAATAGTTGCAACAACGCTTGCGTCAGGAGCTAATGGGAAAACAAGAGAAGACTCAGAGATCTATAAAACGTCTAGTGGACTTTATAAAGCTGATGCAAGTGAGAAAAAGCGCATCCTCTCCTCTACCTTCGGCATCAATCAACTCCCCGCCTCAACCTTCCTCATCCCAATCTCCTCCGACAATACCTCAAACGTCGAGCAATGCGAAGATAGAAAACTCACCTCAGTCACCGATAACGAACATCGACCAGATGTCGTACCTCATAACCCCGTCGTTCTCAGTCAGCCTCAACGATCGGGCATCACCTACGTCCAAACAGAGGAACAAATGTCCTACTCCTATCAGCTGTCAGGCAACAGCGCCCAGCCTGAAAAGCATCAATCATACCTCATTGTCAAAAAAATCACTGAACCAAGAAGGTCCGACCAACTTACTAGTGGTCAAACCGACGACCAAAGCCACTCTACAGTTGTCAACTATCAACTGCCGACCACGTCCGGCTGTAGCTCCTCCCTCGAGGCCGGCATCGTCGTCGCCCACTCCTTGTTCTTCGGTCGTAACAATCGTAAGAGGAAGACCAACCGCGCAATCCCAGCGCTCCACCGCATTATCGGCTCGGAAGGGCTCCTCCCCATCACGGGCGATTATCAGTTGGACCGAACGACCCTTAACGGCAGAAAGCCCTGGGCCAAGCTCTCACACAGTAAACTCTGCATCAATCAGCAATCAACCGCCAGACCCGCAACAGAAAGCTTATTCCCATCCTACAATGATTACATCGAAATTAGCGATGAGAACTTGCAAATCGCAAGGTCCACCCGCGGATCAGCAGAGGAGACAACGAGCTTCGATAGTCGCGTCGGCAAGCACAAATCAGCAAGAGCCGGCACCATCGTCCACTCATTGTTCCCAGGCAATAATAGGCCCTATATCATCTCCGATCGTTCACGCGAGCCACGAGGTTTCGGCACAAACGACCGAGACTGTCCGCTCTTGCGACAACAGCTCTGTCGTTTGGAGCACGAGCAGCTGGAGTCCCGCGAACAGTCAGGCCGCTCAACAACAGCAACAGTCCAGCTCCAGCGGCGCGCCCTCACGAGATTCTTCGAGCACGTGAAATTGGAAGAAACGCATATACCAGCGCCACTTAGAACAGAGCTAGTACACAAGAGCAAGGGCGCGTTGGATGGGAAAGATTTCGGCGAGAAAGTCGACCGAAAGGGTGCACGCGACCGACGTTACGATGACGGTGCCGTTAGCGTTGACGCTACACTGTTGACGTCATCCTCCAATTCCGACGAGGACTCGCTTGACGAAGAGACGCGGAGAGGCCACGGGGCCACTAACGGCATCACGAAAGACTCCTGTGAAAAGAATGCCGCGAACTGGTCGCCTCTCTGTGGTTCCTCGAGCGCACAATCGCCATTGGCGAGCAACGATTACGCAAAGTCGCAATCGTCTACGTTATTTTTTCAGTCAGCGTCACGTAAGGAGAGACAGAGAGACAACGGGGCGCTACGTATCGCACAAAGCAATCTTCCGGAGCTTCTTAATGAGGTCTCAGTTCCTGACGATAAGGCTGATACCGAGAGACAAGACTTACCCAGTGGCGGCAGGCCGTCGAGTAGGAGCAGTATCAGCAGTGGCGGTGGCGGCAGCAGTAGCAGTAGCAGCAGCGGCAGTAGCAGCAGCAGCAGCAACAGCAGCAGCAGCAGCAGCAGTCACAGCGACACCCCGGAGCAAGCGATGAACAACGTGGACGGTCTCGCGGCCTCGCACATCTCCAAAAACATGTGCGAACTCCTGAACGATAATCCCACCTCTCCGGGGGAAGAAGAGGAGCTGGTACGCTACGTGTCAGAAATGGGCGGAGGTGATGACGACGATGACAACGACGACGACGACGACGACGACGACGACGACGATGACGACGCCGTCACTGGCTAGATATATAGTTAGATTAGTTATATTGACATTGACATTGTCGAACGTGCTCATCGTTACTCTCGCTCGCACTCAGAAATCCGCGTGTGTGTTCGAACTGAACGGCGTGTCTTTTGCGCGAGAATCAATCCTTGTAATCCTATAGTAATTATATATCAGTATACGATCGCGTCGTATCCTAGAGGTATTTTACAACGACAATTCGATGTCGGAGAACATCGCGGAAGTTTCCACAAACGGCACCGATCACCAGCCGTGCGCTTCCCGATGCATCGTGGCCTATACGACGTAATAAAGGAGACGTTATCGCTACGACCGTTGCTAGTCGTTTCAGAATTTCGTCGATCTCGTAGAAAAGGAAAAAGGGGAAAAAAGAAATGCGATATTTCTACCACGTAAAAGTATTAAAAAAATATTATACATAAGATGACATCGTGGAGGTTTTTTTTGAAGATTAATTTTCTTTGTTCTCTCAGTTATATTATGCTGACGTGGAAATTATTCGAAAAAAGCTACGTGTGACATCACATACTCTCATGGAAAGTTTGATTACATGACGTTTGTTTGCGACGCAATGACGAGGCCGATTGCTTCTGACTCTGATGTAAGATTTGTATGTGTACACGAGTTTGTCAGCATATCTATTCGCAATTCGTTTCGTTTACAGCTTAAACGCGCACATCCAGTATATATCGTACTGCGAGATTCTGCGACCGGGCAAACGCGTACTTGTCTGTCCGGAGTCGTCGTGCGAACTACGTTGAGAAAAAGAAAAGAAAAGACGACACAGGAGGAAGCCTAACTACTACGTAAAATCGAGTCACATTACCATACTGCCTTAATAGTAAAATAAAAGTGGTACTTTTTAAACCAGCAATATATATCGACAAATGAGAGAAGAGGGATCGTATCTATCCCGATTGCGAGGAGCGCGGATCGATCAACGATCAGTGCGGGCTATAATAATCGTCGTCGATCTCTCCGACCGCGGAGGAACAATACGACTAATCAAATCTCGTTACCATAATCGAAAGCGTAGGCATTAAGGGCCATTGTCCGGCAAGTTCCGGGAAGCGACGCGACGCGAAACCGATTGTCCCGTTCTCGCGAAAGTTATTAGCCGAGGTAAAGCTCGAAGACACGAGAGATTTGGATTTGCGTGGCGGTGCACAAAGCGTGTGCACAGAGAAATTGCTCTCGATGACCAAGGATGTGCGTCTGGGTCATACACACACGTTTGATCATAGGTGGCATGATGTTCTCCGTTTTAGGCGTGGTGATACGTGGCGTCCTTTATTTGAAGCTTGCGATCGTTCGTTTTCCCTCTCATTTCGTTCCTCGTACGTGCATACGTTTCACGCAAATCCGTAATGGGCTTTCAGAGACTTCTGCGTTTTGGCGAGCAATATTTTTCCGACACGGCGTTCTGTGTTGACTTCAGTTCGATTGTAATTCTTTCTCGCCCGAGGTTTTTTTTCCATCGCTAAAGCTGCGACTCGCTACGTGGCATTTTTTCCGCAAGGCGGACTGTGTGTTCTTCGAAGGATGATCGCTTGGATGGCGTGAATGCGTTACGACGGTATTATCCGACGATGCGTCATTAATTTGATTCGCACTGAATTGTGCGACAGTTTGTCTATTTATTTCGCGTTTAATTGTTAAATTTTCTTTTAGCCGGCCGGTAAGCCGCCGGCGCGCCCGACGTTCACACTTAACTAGCGTATACAATTAAGGAGAAAAGTTGTTATTGCAATGTAGGCAACGATATTGAGATCGAAATTCGTATTTTTTATGGAATAAAGCTACTTCAACAGCACGCACGATCTTGGTCGCATCTCAGTTTCGCCGAGAAGGCGTTGGTCCGCGACCGTCTCTCTCTCTCTCTCTCTCTCTCTCTCTCTCTCTCTCTCTCTCTCTCTCTCCTCGCGCCATGTCAAGCACGTCACGCGAATTGCGCGTGTACACTAGATTGCGTAGAGAGATCGTTTCCCTCGGTTCTCCTCCCTTCCCCTAACTCTCGGTTTAACTGTCGATTTTAAATGTCGCTCGTGCGACATTTAACTCGAACTCCCGTGTCGGCGCGAACAAACGTTCGTCCGGAGTAACGTTTCGCCCAATCGGAGATGGCCGATATTCCCGTTGAAAAATGACTAAACCGCGGTGACACGAGGGAGAGAGCGGCGGAATTTCCGACTTGGACAAACAATCGGCTAATGACATGTAAATATGGTGGAGCTAATCAAGCGGCTGTGCCAACAGGCTACGCGAAGAGACCTGCTCTCTCTCTCTCTCTCTCTCTCTCTCTCTCTCTCTCTCCCCGACGCGCGCGCGCGTTTTCCCTCTTTCTCTCTCCCTCTCAGCGCACGGAAGGGTATTCGATACTCGATGTATTTGCCTCGACCTGCGCACATGCATCGCGCTGTAGCAACGCGCGTACATATTTAATGGTTGCACGTTAATTGCGCTCTGTTTGCCCATTCCCCATTCTACGCTCCATCTACACGTCCACCTACATTCTCTTCACCCTTTCCGTGCCGCAATTCTCCTTTGTTAGCGTGTGCGCCGCGCAGTTCGATTTTAATCAATTCACCTCTCGAGCACCCGAGCTCGTTCGGTACGCTCGAAATCCCGCGGAAACCTACTTTCGCGCATCATATTGAATGCAGTCATTTCCGCGTTTACCATAACAAATTTTCGTGCCCGCTGACGCAGACGAGAATCGCGCGCGCGATCGCCAGGCCCGAGCGGCTATTTTCCAGATGAACGAGAAATCAGGTGGTGGAAATGACGCCGGACGCTCGAATGCAAACGAGAGGAGATTCACGGTCGCGAATTCGTCGCGACAGAAGCAACTGAGCGAGACGCGGCGTAAGCTTGATATACAACGAGACACACTAAAATCCTTTGTTATCTCGCCCTTTTTTCTCCCGTGAAGGAAGAAAGAATGAGGAAGGTGCCGCGGCACCTATTGTTTCAATAGGTACGCCCTTTTAAACTTCATTTACTCTCTCTTTACTTTCTCTTTCCAAAACGTGAGCGCACGCGCGCGTTTACCTGCCTCGTGAAATGGGTTTCTAATTAAAAAATTCTTCCCGGCATATTTCCTATTCCTCCTTTCTTTCCGGCGTAACGAGCGAAAAGAGAAGGCGGACTCGTGAATTCTTTACCCTTCGCATACTCCCGCTATACGATAGTTATTACACGCGCTTCGTTCCCGCAACGGCGCGCTCGATACAGGAGCGAAGATTTAAATTGGCCACAGAGCACAGCGGCGAGTTTAATTCCCGCGATGTGTAAGGTAAAAGTATCAATGTCCGCGGACACATATCTAATCTTGGACATTCTTATTGTATTTTACATTCTTTTGTAGTGTGTATTTTTAGAAACACTTAAACTTTCAATATAAAATATATTATTATTAAAGTATTGAGTGTATACATACATTCAATGTTTTGAACGTTTCAATATTCGTCTTTAAGAAAACAGTGAGGCATTGATACTTTTATCTTAGATACGCGCAGGAGAATCTTAAACATCGCGCGCGCACCGTTGTCCATTGTCGCAAACAAATGGCATAATTATTTTCGCGCGTCACATCGCGCGGCGGCCCTAAATTCGGCAAAATTACAGCTATGTAACCCTCTTCCCCTCCTTCTCCTCCTCTTCCTCCCCCGCGGTGCTCCGAGATCCAACAGAGTGCCAAATAACTCATTTACCGAAGACAATCGCCCGTAAAATCGATTCGCAGCCTGATTCGCTCGCCCGCAGTGCCGCGCGCGCTCACGGATTCAATCACGCGACGCTCTGTGACCGCGAAAGTAGACCCGCCGTCGAATTTTTCGGAGATTGTGTGCTCGTTACACGCCTCGCCGGGATCCCGACGTTAATTGTCCGTTAAGCGGATCGAAGCGCCTCGTTGTCCTGCTGGAGCCCGCATGGAGGTTGACGAGCGCGCGCCTGGCGCTCACGAGAGAGGCGAGCGAGGGACAAACGAACGCCGTGCAGGATGAGGGGGAGGGTTCCAAAGAAATTTTAATCAAGGACCGCGCGCGCGTGTATATACGCGGTCGGCTGCGAGTGGGTGCGTTCGCTGCGTGTGTGTATGTGTGTACAAGCTCGCTCACTCGCGCGTGCACGCGCGCGCACGCTTTCAGTCCCGCGGTAAATTACACATACGGGTCCCATTACCGGACCTCGTTACTTCGGAGTCGAAAGCCTCGGCATCTCTCCCAGCCACGAGGAATCGATATCTTCCAATAGCGACGACTATCAGCCGTCGTTTAGCGACGCTCTCGGCGATCCCGCAAAGAGTGCGACGAGTCGCGCGAGCGTCATTTCGAGCGAATTGCGCAAAGAGAGAATCGACAACGGCTGGGCGTTAATTGCCGTCCCTTCTGTTGGAATTTGGTTAGGTTTATTTATTGGGATTTTTTATTGGGATTATTTTCATGGCGTGATGTGAGATAACGTTCGCTCCGGAAAGTTAAATCTCTCTCTGTTGGGAAAGAAAGGCGTAGCGACGGCGTAACGGGAGAAAACGAAGGGGGAGACAGCTCTCTACATCCTTTACAATCCTTTAACGATGACACATTACTTCCGAGCCTTCCCAATGGTCGCAATTCCGGCTACGTTACTGTCACTTAGCGAACGGAGTCGCGAATCTGTCTCGAAGGAGACCGGCAGGTAATCTTCTCTCGTGAGAGAGACCTACTCGGAAGGAGGGAGAGAGCGAGAGTGAGTGTGTGTGAGAGAGGGAGAGAAAGAGAAAGCGGAGAGATGTGAAGAGAGAAGAAAGATCTCGCGCATATGATACCTAAGTCGAAATTTTGTTTCTACATCAACTCTGCAAATTCCGTCGAATCAATGAAGAATCTTCACATGTAACACTATGCCGATCTGTCAAGTGCCATAACTGAGTATTTACTGTCATTTTTTTACATTGAATAAAAAAAACATTGCAGAATTTTGCAATATATAATTATCACGATATTCTATATCAGCATTTAACTTTAATTTTTCATTTCAATTGGTAATGTATTAATTATGCAATTTATTCAACTGTAGATAGATTACACGATATGAGTAAATATCAAATAATTAATATATAGGAAAAGAGAGCAAAATATTTCATATTTATGGTCCTAGAAGTCGTAAAAGTAAAAATAGTAATCGAGTGTCCAATAGTGTTGCGCACCAACAGATATTTAAATTTGATAAAGTAATAAGATTGAACAAAAGTGAAAGAAAAGAGCATTGACAGATTCAAAGAATATCTTGCGATCTAAGCACTGTTAGAGGCAAAAACGTTAATTGTGATGAACTCTGAAACTGGCGTTCATAGCTGCAAGTTATTTATAAATTTTGGATTGAAAATATAACAAATTCTAGATTCGTATTTATGGACGGTTGTTTGGCTGTTTGGATCAATATTTCTCGTTGCCTGAAATAAATACAAATACAGGCAGACATGTAATCAGAGATTGATGAAGATCAAATTGATTGTTAAACGATAACAAACTGTGAATACTGATCTGAATTTCGGCTCTCTGGGGGGATATCTATTTATTCTCGGTGAATTCGTCAGAAGTCCATTAAAAGTGGGAGCCTCTTATATAGTAAATGATTCGACACATCTGTAAATACATCTCAGCATCCTGCTTCTCGATCCAGTGTCCTGGCTCCTGGCTGTCCAGTCGTAACACGCTGGACACGCTCATTTGTGACACTGACACTCGCGCAGATACGAGGATTCGATCGTAGAAACGCGTGTTAATTAACGCGATGCCGACGGGAGTCTGATTAAATGTCTCAAGAATCGACGAAATATTTTCATCACGCCATGGGAACGACAACTAAATCATCGACACACGTGCTCCATTGTGCGTGGTCGGTTCGACACGTGTTGAAAATGCTCAAGAAGTAGAGCACGGGAGTACGCTTGGCCGTCTTGAAGACCCGCAATGTTTTGGAGACGTTGATTATTGTCGCCGCTCGACTTTCCAAGAACGGACGACGACGGCCGGTGATAGACGGGAAATAACATAACCTTACTTCTCTTTGTTTTGATAGTCTCGGTATACTCGCATATCGGCACGTCAGTTATTACTACCCCGAGTGATAAAAATATTTCGTCGGTTGTGCAGACATTTAATCGCGTTCCTTTAACGCGGAAACTTATTGAATTAACAATAACAGTGAAAAATTGTTTCTCAATATCTTCAAACTCCAGGAGCTTAATAAGACTTCATCTTTACGCCAATTATTCGTAGTATTATGTTTGTTTGTTTTATCGTTTTGCCCATTAATATTACCCGTATTACCATTGCGCGTTAGTAGGTGAAATTTTATAACTTTTGGAAGTGATCCTCCCTCCTTCCTTCCTTCCTTCCTTCAATATATGGCTACAGGCCTCTATAAGAGTAATGCCCCTACGCCAGTTTCCGATTAATGATATAATTTGAGAGTAAAGTCTTGGAAATTTCCAAGACACGATCCAAAAAAATCACAAGGTCCGAACATGTTCGAACACGTCTTGTCGTGACGGCGGTTAGGCCGGAACTTTTTGTGATCCTCCCTCCAAATATATCTAAAAAAAAAAATTACAGGTTACACGCAATAAACTTGAATACGTCACAATTGCGTTCCGAAACTCTACTCGAGTAAAGTAGTATTTAATTGATCAATTCGAAGACAAAGATAACTAACAAGGATAATTAAGATAACTAATAAAGATAACTAAGCTTTCTTTAGATTGGTTAATTGAATGTTAGGATTCTTGCAGAATGCCAGGCAACAGGCAATAGGAACAGAGAATAGAAATTCTGATTGGTCAATTATTTCTATTCCTTATTCCTATTGGCTATTGCCTGTTCCTATTGCCTGTTGCCTAGCATTCTGCAAGGGCCCTTATTCTATCCGTTGGGTAGGATTTTGGAACGCAGCCATCACGGTTAGACCGGAACTAATAGCGTGTTTGACTGGCCCTAGATTAATCGCCCCGCGATTATGACGTCATAAGTCTCTACTAGCCAATCATAAAGCTTATAAGTTGTTTGACCAAACGTAGGCTGAATTACCTAGAGTGGGTTAACCCAGAGCCAGTCGAACATGCTATAACATGCTTACTTATAGCCACATATGCATAGCTTAAGATTATCTCAACCAATGAGCATCTAGGATAAAGTTGTTATATTGAGCCTGTAAAATAGGCTCATTGATCGAGTCTGTCTTATGCTATGCACACATGCAGCTATCTGAATTTTATTTACTTTATTTTGTGCGCGATGGCCTAAAGGCCAAACCACACTAACGATTGGCGATAGATGATTGACGATTGAAGATTGGAACTTGACCAATTGGAACAAAGCAAGGCTGAAACTTGTTGATTCGTTAAAATCTAATCTTTAATTGTCAATCGCCAATCGCTAGTGTGATTTGGTCTTAAGAGCTGGTTTCACTAACTCCAGTTACGATCAAAATCTGATTATAGACAGTATAAGGGTTTCAACTGAAAATTCTAATGGATAAGAATGACAAAGTACTTATGTCCATCAGTTGGAACTCTGATACCGTTGGTTAGATTTGACCGTAACCGGAGTTGGTGAAACCAGCTCTAACGGAAATTTTACGACTAAAATTACGATTTTAAAATTACGGTTACAGAATTTTTCACTTGCGTTAGTCCGTTTGATTGTACGTATTGGAAACTACTATAATTACGGTTACGGTTAATGCTTTTTTACGTGCAAAGGTCTTAAAGCTGGTGGCACATAGAAAAATTTAAGCAGTAAAACGTAAGCAGTAAGTAAATTGACCAATCACAGTCATTGATTCTTTTTACGGTCCAAGAAGACCCTAAAGCCTATTTTACAATTGCGTGAACGTGCTTGTAAGTTGTTGTAAGTGATTATGACAACCAATCAGAGTAAAGTAATCAGTGAATAAAACATTTGGATTAGTTGACTCTTACGTTTACGACTACGCTTAAGCAATTGTAGAATGGGCTTTAGGCCATCACAAACACTTTCCGTAACAGTAACCGTAAGACGTAACGTAAGAATTGACCAATTACGATGGAGTACTCACAAAAATGGCGACCTTATGTTTCGACGATTCTCAACGTGATTAGTCAATTCTTATGTTACGTTTTACGGTTCTGTTACGGAAAGTGTATGCGAAGGCCTCTAACAGTGATAAACGCGTAGCTAGAAATACATGTGGCAGGTCGAAAATTTTTAGTAACTATCAGTCTATCGAAATTATCGATCTATCAAATTTATCGATTTATCGATTTATCCGTAGGATCAGCGTGAAGGTGACGCCACTGTAGTAGCGCGACATCTTCGCGGCTTCAATTCTCGGCGCCCGTCGTGCATTGCGGGACCATCTTCAATTTCTTTACGCTGAGCAACCGTCATGAACACATCGATCGACATCGCTTTGCGTTTTAAGAGCCTTTTGTCCGTTGAAAGTGAGTCTCGTGCCGAAATAAATATTGGGAGTGTCGGAAATAGCGATGTGCGATCGTCAGGGAATATCGCAAGGACGTTATTAGTAAGTAATCTCTACTTCTCAATACATACTTGTCGCGTCGTGTCGAGTCGGCATCTGTCTCTCTCATTATTACCTTGGACTCGTTCAAATAAGAGAAAACGCACACTAGTTCAGTACTCGTTATATCACTCACAAGTGCTTTCTCGGCACCCTTGCTCGAAGTCCATTCAATATCATCAAGGTGTAGGCATCTATAAATTATTTATTAATTACTTAGCATTTATATTATTTACTTATCCGTTTTCTTTTAAATCCCTATATAACTTAAGAACCGACAATATCCGCGCAAGAGTGCCGAAAACAGGACCGAAATCGAACGATTGTCGGATTTATCAATTAGAATTAGACACTCGACGATAATCAGAGGGAATAAGAACGAAACAAGGATATTCGAGCGCCAAGAATATTCGCGACGCGGATGTCGGGCGGCAGCGTCGATCTGTTAGCAGGAGTGCATCACAGATGGTGTTGTTGTAGGAGCGCGAGACACTTTCACGTCGCAGTATGAATTTTCGGCATATGCAATCCCACATAGCACAAAAAAAATGTCCCAAAGACATCCGGAAGATTGCTAAATGTCCGCATAAGTCCTTAGAATATCCTAAAAATATTCCGAGGACTTCTAAATGTCCACACAAGTCCCCAAGATATCTCTTCAAGATCTTGTGCTATGAGGGAATAGATTGCGCAGCCGTCGATCTTGTTGTGTGTACGTCGGTAGCTGCCATTGACACATCAACATCGCTTTACGCGTCTTTTGTTTATCGGGAGTGAGTCTCGCGCGTAAATAAGTATCGAAGGTGCTGAGATAGTCATGTGTGTGCGATCTCGTCAGGACATTATTAGTAAGTAATCTCCACATCTCTTTCAGTCCATGCAACCGGTGCTTGTCGCGTCGTATCGCACTCGTGTCTGTCACTCTCGTTGTTACCTTCGACTCATTTGAGCAGTGATAGAATCAGACGATTATCGGATTTATTAAACGTGAATTAGAACCTCGGCGATAATCAGGGACGAAAGAGAAGTAGACAATGCCAGAGATATGTGTATCAAATATATGTTGATCTCATGTTGATCTTTTAGAATATTCTAGGAAATTCAGGTCGAAAATGGCTAAAATTGCGACTCTGATAACGTCCATCTTAGCAAAGTGTATACTTAGTAATATACTTAAGGCCGATTGTCTTAACTTTTTGGTAAGCTACCTGACAGTTAAATAATATGTCTGTTTTCGTTTTTTTTCTTCAAACTGAACAGACACATGATTTGACTGTCTTTGACTTTGTAGGTAGCCTACCAAGAGATTGGAACAATCGGTCCTGAATCTCGCGAAGATTTGATATATTTATTTATGTGAACATTATGTGAACACACACACACGCACACTTGAATCATTTATCTCGAAAGCGATGCCATTGCTTCATTACTATGAAAATTAATGAACTATAATTTATCAATAGAGAATTCACTTTGATTTATTCGCATTATTGGAGACGAAACAAAACGCAAAAATTCCCGGAGGCGTTCCAGATTCTTGCGAGGATGCTCTCTTCTCACTTTTGAATTCCCGATGCGATTCGCGTTTTTCTCCTTTTTCCCTTGACATTCACACCGTACAAAGCGACATCATTCAAAAAACAGTGTTCGTACGCTTCGTGTGCAGCCGTTGCAAATTGCGAGCGATTGCCACGGTGCTCGTATGCTTTCACCGGTCTTGAAGCTATTTGCGAAGTTTTTCCGAAGGTAACCGCGCGACTGTACGGGGGTGGTAGAAAGGATAAGAGCGACCAAGTAGATAGGGTGTGGGTGAAGATACGCGGGCCCTTAGTAATGTTGCCATCGTCGTCGTCGTCGTCTTGGTCTTCGTCTTTCTCTCTTTCTACACCGTTTCCTCCTCGGTGCAGGCAAGTGCGACCGATGCGACGTCCGGAGGACCGGCGAACGGTTAGTTAAGGAACACGAGAAAGCACTTCTGGATCACTCTCGACTCTCGCGTCCCTCCGCTGCGAGTACCGTCTCGGATACGGAGATACGATCGACTCTCCCCATAGATATCATCTCGTGCATATAATACGTCAATTTCACGCCCTCGTCGACGCGCTACCGCGCGCGACATGTGACAAAAGATCTATTCTTCCTATTATTCTTTAACCTGCGAATGTCGGGGCGTCCGGCGAGTTTTGACAAAAAAGTTATCCCGTTCCGTCGCAACAACACGGACTGCTATTCGACAAATAATTTTATCCATTTACACGCGATCGTGGCCAAAGAACGCACGCGAAGAAATGACTTAGTAATATTTGATTAAATCTCAGTGGCTAATTCGAATTCTGCTAAAAAACTAATCGTCTTGCTAAGAGTTGGCTATCACAAGTAAAGTGCGTTTTTACGCTGTGAAATACAAACTTATTATTTAAAATTAAAAGCGCATATTTGTTTACGTAGCTAAAAAAATGGCAACTATTTCTAAATATCTTATGCACGTGAATCTCGAGGCACTCCGTAATGAATTAATCTTGCACAGTTCCGTCGCATCGTGCACATTGATTGACAAATTTTTTCATTAATTAATATAATTATCGTGACAGAGTATGTACAAAATAGTACAATATTTTTTTTGTTCAATTTAACAAGTTCTATCTGCACCTAATTCCAGACATCATGTATAATTAATGGATATACACAAGTTTAGTCTCTTGAAATAAGTTTAGTTTTTTCACAATCTCTATTATATATTTTTTTCATTAACTTTGGAAATGTATATAAAATGTCTGACACAACACGCACCAATGCTTATGTACAGATAGAGTTTCAGAAATTGAATAAAGCGATCCTCTACCATTTTGTAAATAACCACGATATCTATTCCTTTATATTGATCTACAATGACAATATTATTCTCGTCAATGGATGAGACAAAAAAAGGAATCGGAAGAATATGGTCGTGAATGAAAGCGATTGCGTTTATCAGGCTTTAATCGACCACTCGACTCTTTTAAATGAAAGTGAAAGAGATTGTTTTTATTTCATATCGACTCATTCGCGAGTTACAGTCGTTTAAAGCGACGTAGACAGCCTGTCTAGGCTCGACATTCACGCTTGTATAACGCATAGTATTGCGTCGGCGTACTATGTTGAAAAAAAATGTTGTGTTAAATTTAACACACTTCACATGTCTCAGCTGGCATTTCTAATTTTTATGTTTATTTAATACGAGGTAATTTTTGTGTTAATTTTTGTATTAATTTAGCACAAGGTATGGTAGAGTTTCCACTCTCATTTTTGTGTTAATTTAATACAAAGCAAACATAGTAACAAATGACACGACTTATAAGTACACTTTACGAATTAAATGTGTCATCGAGAATATACATGTTAGGCACGAACATTGCCGTAGTTCCTCACGCCACCTTACGTGACAATTTTACGTTACGTGAGACGTAAGCTGAACGTACGAAAATGTTACGTTACGAAAAAATAGAAGTTCCGTGATAAAAGTAATTAAATCAGATTATTGAACAATAAGTAAATAAAAAATAATAATTTATTTTTACAGCCATAATAAGAAATGTTTATATTGAGTACATATATGTACTTACCTTTGTAAATTGTATCTTTGTCACAGAACCTCTATATTCTTTTGTAATGTAACGTAACGTTTTCGTGTGTTGTCGTACGTTCAGCTTACGTCTCACGTAACGTAAGATTGTCACGTAAGATGGCATAAGGAACTATGGCAATGTTCGTGCGCTGACCCTTACATGTAAATTGCGTTAATTTTACATTGAGAAATGATGAGTATAAAGTATCAACGCAAGTAGAAATGATGAGTATAAAATATCAAACATAAAGAAGAGTCAAAATAACACGCAATGCTGACATGCTAAATTAATACATGAGTACGTTAAAAATTTAACATAAAAATGTTTACATGAAACGCGATTTCAACACAAATACAAAGTATTTCTTATCGTGTATTTCACGCTGTGACTTGTGAGGTGAATGACCGCGTGGCTACTGCGAGTACGTGAACGGGACACTGTACTTATCTGAGCCGCGGAGTGGGGGTAGCGGGCCGGGATTGCGCATGCGCAAGGTGCCCGCCGCGAGCAATCCATTCACCATATATAGGGTGTCCGGTAACTGATCGAGCAACCGCCGTGTACGGGTAGAACGGGTCAAAATAATCATAAAAGTTATATACTATGTTGAATTTTTCTCAATATTTATTCCGTAATTAATTAAAATGTATAAACGAATGAGCGCACGAGAAGCGGTAGGACAGACTTTGTGTGTAAAAGAAATGGCTTACCTCTTAGCAACGATGAGTAAATAGCTGATTTCGAGGCGGAGTAACGTATTCGTGTCGCTTGTTACTCCGCCTCGAAATCAGCTGTTTACTCATAATTCTGAAAGAATTCAGTCGTATGTCACCAATTCTGAGTTCATTTTTAGATACAAAAAGAATTCTTTTCACTGAACTGAACTCTGAAGAATTCTTTTTACATCTGAAAATGATCATCTCAGAATTGGTGACATACGATTGAATTCTTTTTGAATTCTTTTTGAATTCTCTGTGCTATCTGGATGGTTTTTAAGAGTGATTGCAACATTACAAGCATCTCTTCTTCTTCATCTGAAGAATCAATTAATTCCCAGTTTCGAGTTATGTGACGCACCATGTTATTCACTGTCCTGTGACGTTCTTTTCCTCTTTGTCAGAACTCCTACACTGTTCAGTACAGTGCCAGTGCAGTCCCAGTGTAGTCCCAGTGCAGAGGAAAAGAACAGACCTAAGAATATATAGCTCGTAGAGCTCTCAGCGATACCGCAATATTACGATGCAGGCAATGCTCGTCTGTCTTTTTCTGTATCAATATCAATGTTCTGTCTGTACAATCATACCATAATTGCTTTAATTATGTTGAATTTTACCTTACAGATATTTTGCTATTAAGTTATTATGCTGCTTGTTTATTTACTTAAGGATTCCAACCTATTCTTATTCGTGTACGTCGCTACACCGCTGCCCTAGCTCGAGACTTATGGTTTGTTCTTTTCAGCTGCACTGCTGAACTGGTGCAATAAGTTAAAATGAGATAAATATACTTTTTCTTACTCTAACTTATTGCACCAGTTCAGCAGTGCAGCTAAAAAGAATAAACTATTAGGACAGGCAGTGTAGTGTTCTGTTATACTGAGTACCGCTGCACTGAGGAAAAGAACAGCGATGATGACGTCATAATCGTCGATGAAGTCGCCGTAATCGTTGAAAAGAACACTTTAGTGTACACTGCTTGCACTAGTGCCGCCAATGCAGAGGAAAAGAACAGATCTAGTATTACATATATGCCATTCACGCTTCCGCATTCCATTCACGCGTCGCGCCGTATTCGCAGCTCGCTACAGCGATAACGCCGGCCGATCGGAGACACGGATCGATACAATCGTGAATAACTCCGCTCGTGAACGTCGCAGCGACTTGAAACAAGGATCATTGGGAAGGAAAAATTATCGCGCTCGCGATAGACACGAAATCACCTTTCTATGGAATAAGGATCGACTAGCGTAATCTTGTAAGTACAAAAGACATTGATTTTTGTGTTTGTGTTAAAGCGGACATTAATCTAAGTTAAACACTAATGGGAAATTTCGGTTTCGAGTTGCAACTCGAAGCGTCACTTTCCGTTTTTGGCGGGTACAAAGTGTAATCTGAGAGAAAAGTGAAATGATATAATAGGAACTTTTATTTACAGTGACATAATAGAACTCTCAGTCTAGCGAATATTTTTTGCTGCAACGCCGAGGTTCAGACAGATTTAGCTTCGGCAGCACAACGGCATTAGTAATGACACATGTTAACTGTCACGATTGTATTTTAGCTGTCGCGGCTGATTCTTTTTTTGTGCGTAACTTTTACTTTTTATTATTGGCATCACTTCGGATATCGTATCATCGAAAAACTTTACATCTCCCGAGACAGCCGTGTCGTTAGTCAGACGAGAAGGATAACTCGCGAAGAAACTCAGTGTCCGAAAGGTGGATTTTTCCAAAAAGATCCGGCATAGACATACACCGCGAGAGAAAGAGTCCCCTTCTCATCCTTTCTCGTTCTGCCGGTGGATTTTTCGCGCGGCGCGCGCCTTTTTCGCGCGAAACCGAACTCAGAAGCGATGCATCATAATCAGGCGGTCAACTTACTTAGTCCGGAGTGCTGCGCGCTTAAGTTAATTAGCTAATTACTAATTTTAATCGGATGACGTATGCGCATCTCGGGGGATACAAGCAAACCCTCTTAGCTGGGGGATAGCTCACCTCTCTCCCGCCTCCCACCACCGTCACCCCTTAACTCCTCGCACACTTCCACGTGACGCGCGCGTACACACGTACACACGTATACACGTATACACCGATGTTCTCTATTTGCCCTCTCTTTCTCTCTCATTCCTTTCGACTTCACTATCCCCTGTCGTATACGTCGGACGGGGCAATCCCACGGTCTAAGTAATTTAACTAAAACTTCTCGGACATTTTTCCACCATTTTCGACCGTCGGGGCTCCCTCTTTCTCCCTTTCCCCTTCTATTCCCCTTTCCTCCTCTCTTTCTCGTCCAGGCGCGTCTAGCGAGAGTCGTTTGCAAACGCGCAATTTCTCAAGCTTTGTTGACCGGACGTACGAGCGTTTTATTCAGCAACGGGCGTGCTCGCGTATGAGAAGCACCGGGTGTAAAAGTAAGAACCGTCGCGTTTCGCGGAAAAAATCGGCGTAATTATGTCGCGCTTCCGGACGACGCGTAAAGAGAGCGGGAGAAACTCCCGGAGTAAGGTGTGTCGCGCAAAAAGGAAAGGGGAAAAAAGGAGAGAAATCTGAGCACGGTTCGTGCATTTTGGTTTTGACGCGAGATGCGTGCTCGCGTCGTCGGGGCGCGCACTTGGAGGCAATCGTACGCGAGTTTTCCGAAGTGGGTGCATGAGTATTACATGAAAGTGCCTCGGCCACTGGAGCGCGCAGCATAAATTCTGATACGGTGACTTATGCTGAGCGTTTCATCGGCGAGCCGCTTATATCCCATGCATATGTTTTTACGTCACTTTGTGCGGAACGCGGCCTTTGCTATGCACCAAAGTGTGCGCGACGGCGCATCCAACCGAATTCGCTATTAATATCAGTGGACGCGGCGCCACGGCGACACGATACCGAGAAAAAGGAATTCTCGTCCAACCGAGAGATAGTAAAATCTAAATTCGTTCCGTTAACGAGACGCGGGTACGATTACAAGGAGATAACGACCGTCGTTGGAAAAACATCGTGGCTAGACCGCGCGCCGCGAACATCGTGCATCCTCTCTCTCTCTCCCTTTCTACCCTCTCTCTCTTTCTCTTTTTTATCACCCACGCTGATAATGCACGTCGTTAATGCGGACTGAATTCAATATCTGCCGACAAATTAGCAGCCGAGCAAACGGAAAAGCCGTCCACAAACAGTCGTGTTATTAATAATATGCAATATGCGGCCGCGTCGTATCTGCGCGTAAGCTTCGCGATATCCGCCGCCGTCGTCGCCGCCGCTACCGCCACTTACGCCGCACGGAGGTGGCAGAGGCGGAGGAGGAAGAGGCGGCGGAGGAGCGAGAGGAGCACGCTGCCCGGCCGTTCCGCGCTCGCTAATGAGGTAGGAATTAATTAATCGGGCCTGCGCGCGAGGACGAAAGCGGGACGCGGGGCGGAAGAGGGGGGAAGATTGCAGAGAGGACTGGGATGGTCCAGGATAGCCCCGGAGGAGGTGGCGCTGATGCACGGATGGTACGTTGGGGTTTCGGGTCTTTCTTGCGGATCCACGATATCCAGCGAGGCTGAAACTGCGTTGCTAGCTTTGTCATCGAACTCGGTCCCGATCGAAGTCACGATTCACGCCGGGATAATCCGTGCATAACGATATAGTCCGATGGCATCCGTCACACTGCGGACGGAATGAATCTCTCCTGAGTCACCGGTTGAACGGGAGTGCGAAAGGAAACACGGAGATATTATTTCCGCGGCGGCAAGGAGCGCGCGGAGCCGGCTCGCGGCCGCGAGCGAATGTGGGACGCGCACGGTGCGGGGGTTACGTGGTAATTAGGGATCTATAATTGCGTGGAGTCAGCTAGAGCGATCGAGTCGCGCTGCAGGCCGGTCATCCGGCGTCATGCTGGTGGCGTTTTGCTCGTATTACGTGGCAATCATCCAGCCACGTGTCCACGTTAAAGCGCACCAGGTGAGAGACGCGCGGACGACGTGCTGCAATGTGTATATCATGCCGGCGTCCAATCGCCAGCGTGTGTGTATCGCCGTGTGTCGCTCCGCGGCTGCTGTGACGAATTTCGTTTGTTTAGTGGGAATTTAAAAGATAAGCGGACATCTAGTCTGTTTTTAATTAAATATCACGACAATTAGTAGCAGTAGAGACAAAGCGTAGATAACTGCGCACATTCTCGCGCGTTTACTCGGAGCGTAGGTGGTTTCTATCCGTTTCGTTAATGAGGCAGATTATTCGCGCCGGTCCTCGACTGACAAGAAAACTAACGAGAGTGTGCATAGGAAATGGTTTGTCGTTTGCACGCCGATAGAGCGTGTGGGGCGTCCTTAACTCGAAAGATAAGTGTATCTGTTGGCGACGACGACGACCCCGGGCTGTTTTTTAACTTCGGAAACGGAAACGCACTGAGAACGAAATGTTTGGCATTTGTAACCATAATCACATAGAGAAATAATTACTGTAAATTATGGTAAAGGAAGCTAATTTATTTGCTAAATTCTACTATAATGTTGGTGATAATAACCTATTATATATATATGTTATATATATATATATATATATATATATATATATATATATATAACATATGTATAAACCATATTTTTCAGTTGTCCTAACTCGAAAATGGTAGCAGTAACATATATATATATATATATATATATATATATATATATATATA